CCACCACACACAACCTCAAGACTCTTTCAACAATCGTGCCAACCTATAAACCCGCTCATCAACTAAGCCATTCAACCGACTCAATAAGAGTCAAAACACCCGTAACGTATATCCGTAGGTTTTCAAAAATGGAAATCATCTCTCAACAGACCAGTCTATAAAATAGACTCCTTTAAGACCACTAATTGAATAATATCTATAAGTCATTCACCCGACATCGGCATAGTTCTATTCATCATCCATGCCAACTTATACATAGTAGTACTGACCAAGTCTCCTTAACAACCACACTTAACACATCTCATCGGGCTGTACTAAAGTACGCGAAACATACATCCAGAATCCCTAGACTATACTCGTAACTTCTCCAACTCCTATCATACATACCATAATTCGGTTCGAAGAGAACTTTCACACCAAACTGTGCCCTAAGTCACAAACTCTAACCTTTTAAAGTCATATATCTCCAACAAAAACCTCACATCATACTCTTGACCTCCACAGTCATAAGAACCCATATACTAATACATGAAACTTAAACACCTCACCCTGAACACGCACTATGTGATATGCAATCATTCTAAAGTCGTGCCCCAAACTCCACACTATGAAAAAATTGAGAAGGATTGAAAAACCATGCACTGAATAGCTCAATCCATGGGCTAGAAATCCACGTCATTTATTCGATAAGAACTGGAACCCAAACAACCCTAGAGCAATCAAGCTCATCGCCTACTCAGGTTATAACCCACACGGCAACTACATCGTAACAAGTACTTTGTCATACTAGTTACTATCCCATACTTAATAGCATATGTGTATATCCATATATATACATATATATATATATATATAACCGTAACCCATACTTTGATACAATCATGTCCTTTTATTTAAAATTTAACAGTATGCCTTCCATAAAACACCCGCTTGGATAACCCATGCTCGACTACTCATCACATTACCATAAAAAAAAATGATTGCACAACTCGTGCTCACTACTTGCCATTCTACCATGGATATCATGCTTTCATCATTAGTAAACAACTAAGCAATTAAACGCACTGCCTACAATTATGGTTTTAAAAGACCGATTACTTTCATTAATCAAATTGAGCTTTCACACATACGCATTTCATATACATAGTTGGATCACATAATCATTCTCCATACTTGGGCATATAACACATATTTTAGCATTTAAACACATAGACATATGAACACTTAAGAAGTAAGCATGTCTTTCAAACCCGTAAACACATAAGCAAGTAACAAGTAAGTATTGTTTCCTAAAATAGCATACACTTAATCATGAAATACTTAGTCAATGCAAGTCAACTTTTTACCCCATCTAGGTAAGCCACTACTCATCGTCCGAAAGGTTTTTGAACCTAAAGCTCTGATACCAAATCTATAACGATCTAAACGCGGGGTCTAGATAACTATCTGGGTCCCAACCCGACCCAAAAATATGTAAGGGAAAAATGGTCATTATGTGCCTTATTATATGTTAGGAGTCATAATAATGGCATGCCAATCATTTCTAATCAAACTGGGACATGAAAGGGTGAAAACGTTGACTTCGGGTTCACTCTAAGGCCCTAAGGTTGATAAGGGTAAAATGGTCCTTTTATGTCAAAATTGTGGAATGGAACCAATACCATTTAGAAAGATGGCTTAAAAACATATAAGTTAGACTCAAGAATGACCCTATTCGAGTTCAAAATGAAGAAGTTATGGGAATTTGAAGTTTCGATTAACAAAGGTATAGAGACAGAGTCCTTTGTGCTTAAGCGCAACCATTTATGCTTGAGCTCAACCTTGTGCTCAAGCATAAATATCTTTACTCGTTCTTTAGGACCTGTAATAAAATGTCTTGAGAGCTGCTCTCAGGATCCCACCAAAATCACCCCAATGCTCGAGCACAGACCCCTTGTGCTCGATCATTGGCCACCCTATAGAAATATGATTCTCGACCAAGGCCCTGTGCTCAAGCACTAGCCTCAAAAATGGCCAAATGCTCTAAAAAATCTAGGGTTTGGGTCAAGCAAGTTGCTTAGGCACTTAAACGCATTCACAATGATCAAATTTGATCTGAAAAACGGTCATAGACTTAAGTAAATGGATAAATGAAATCTATTCATCAACCTTAAACATCAATCTAACGTTTCTGAAATCAAATATGCTTCCATGGCATTCAAATTTATAACATTTCTTCCTTACACGTCAATATACATTAAAAGTAGGCTAATTAAGTACAAGATACAATCATAGACCCTTAAGGTCGAATTTATAATACTTTACAAGAATTTACGTCATCCATACATTTGATACAAAAATAATGAAAGTAAGCTTTTGCCAACCCTAACTATACTCGGGAGGGTCAATCATCAACCATGACTCCATTATAACCTAAAAAATGTTAATGAAATGGGTGAGTAGGGAGGCTTAGTAAGAGATGCCAAAGGCACCAACTTTGGACTCCCTTAAGCCACGCATCACATATACGGGATAAAAGGAAACCGGGATAATACTTGGGAATTTCACTGAATTTAAACCACAATCTAATCCAATAAATGGTATAAATACAACTTTGCACAATATGAATACAAATGCAATGCAATGAATACCCATTCCCATTCTTAGTCTCAACCGACCCACTTGGCCTCTACCTTTAAAAACTGCTAACCGACCCACTTGGCCTAAACTCACATTTAAAAACTGCTAACTGACTTTACCGAGGTAAGATTGATTATTATCCCTCGTTCCAAATCCTAATATTAACTTTTTCACATCCTATACCGAACTGCGCTCCCTTTAGGTTAAGTTAGTACCGGACTCGCGAAATCTGGTTTGCTTTATAAAAGTCCTTTTTAAGCCCCTTTCTCATTCCCTTTTCTCGCCATGTCGTGCACATGCTCAATTACAACAATTTAACTTCAATTTCATTGGTATAGCTATAATGGTATAAACATCGCATTTTATTTACTTTTCAATATATTATCAACATAGCATTTCTCACAAAATAACTACAAGCATGCTTAAAATAGATTTCACTTCATCACCATTATGCTAGCATTTAAACTTAGCATTGTAATAGCTTAGGAAACATTATACTTCACACTTAGCACATAAAGCACATTAGAAACATCATGCTTCACACTTAGCACATAAGACACATTAAATTACTCTGTATAAGCATACTTTCATATCATCATCACCGGGTCGAACATAATGTGAGCCTAGTAAGGGTTGTTTGTATATCTTACAGTGCTTGATGGCCTGGTTGTTTATAGAAAGTCCTAAAATTCAGCCCTAGAAATAGTCATTTCATGTTGATCTTCATCGCTGCCACCACCACGATCATCTGCCATGAGTCTAGGATAAGACAAGGCTCTAATGCAACTGACGGAGCGGAAGTGATGAATGTTCAACAATCAATAAAAAAGCAATTTTGAATCCGCAAAGTTAAAAGAAAATTGTAGATCATGTACTCTAATATATTATTGATAATTGAATTGGTTATCCTACTCTACATATATTTATAATAGAAAATCTCTAAGTTTAAGAAAACTAATACTATAAATAAACCTAAAAGCAAAATGAAACCTAAGACTAAAAATAAAAAATAAGTCTAAAAATTCTGAAGAAATAAGTTAAGAAAGCTAATCACTAAAATAACCCCAAGAAGTTGGCCTAGTTAGAAAAGATTTGGATCGTTGTGTCTCATGAAGTATTCGGTCTCATGATTGATTTACGGTAGGTGAAAACAATTCCTTAGGAGGGGTGAGTACAAACTAAGGAAATATATATATATATATATATATATAATATAATATAATATAATATAATATAATCACAAAAATAACTTTAAATGCCAAAAATAAAAACAATTAGAGTTTGTTTAGGCCACACACAAATACTAAGATATTCAGTCTTCCTGTAGGACGGAAAACGTGATTTTGTAGCAGCAAATGACCGAATTTGGCTGAAACCTGATTCATGGCCGCTAGCTAAATTTATTAAGTTTTGTTTATCACGTCTTTTCCACTCAAAAGAATATATATACCCTTTCGAATTGAAAATAGTGGCGTCGAAAATTCCATCCTACATCAAGATTCCATTCAATATCACACTTACATAATTTACAACATATATTACAAGATCCCAGGAGTCTATTAGCAAAAAGTAAATGGTAAATAATAATAGTAATAATAATAATTCATTTCCTTGTGGTGCACGAGCAACATAATGGAGTGATGAATAAGCACGCTTCTAGATTAATAAAATTCAAAGCCTATTTTCACACAGATGAACAACGTGAAACCCCATTTTCACATGCTACAATCTACATACGTACCCTTGCATGGCCTATATAAACCAACATGCATGGACGAACCTTTGCAAGCAAATTTACCCTAAAAAAAACACTTTGCAACCAAACCCTATTATGGAGACTCAAGCCTTTCTCGTTTTAGGTCTTATAGTCCTTGTCTTGGCTAATTCTGTCACTAGCCAAGAAGAAGCATTGTGCGGTTGCACCGATAAGCTCAATCGTGCAAGTTTCCCAGCAGATTTTGTCTTTGGGACAGCATCATCTGCTTATCAGGTAATGTTGCAGCTGTCCCAAGGGGTCCAATTCTTGTTTGCTGCAAATTTAACTTCCTACTACAAGAATTTATGAAAAAAATTTACTATACATTTGTGTGTTCTTTGTTTCTTTCAGTATGAAGGTGCAGCATTTGAATATGGAAAAGGCCCAAGTATATGGGATAATTTCACTCTCGAACATCCCGGTCTCTCTCTCCGTCTCTTATTTATTTAATGGACTATGCAACAAAAACGACCTACATATGACATTTCTTTTGGTCTAAAATATATTTTCAAATAATTCGATAACCTTTTGAGTCTGATACCATATTAATAACCATTTGAACTTTTTTCTTTAGCAAAAAAAATTATTGGTTCAGTTATTGACAGGGTTTAGTTTGAAATGACAGAGATGATAAAAGACGGTAGTAATGGAGATGTTGCCATTGACTCTTATCACCTTTACCCGGTATGGTACAAGCTAGTCAAACTGTTCTCATGCTCCATTAATGCACTGTGTGTGTGTGTGTTTGTGTTTATCAGTGGGGTGTTATTAGTAATACTCGATCATCATGCAGAATGATTCATCCATGATGAGAACAATGGGGGTGGACGCTTATAGGTTTTCGATCTCATGGTCAAGGATATTACCAAGTAATCATAAATTAATATCGCCATTTAATATTATATATATATATATATATATATATGTTTAAATTATTGTTTTTTATCATCCCTAAATATTGCAATAATTATCAGGTGGAAATCTGGCTGGGGGTTTGAATGAGGAAGGAATTCAATACTACAACAATTTTATAGACGACCTCATAGCCAAGGGTTATTGATCAAATCTCAACTGTGTCATATATATATTGCTAATTAGTATAACAAAATGTATTAAGTTACTTTATTTGCAGGTATACAACCCTACGCGACTTTATTCCACTGGGACGTTCCACAAGCCTTAGAAGATGCATATGACGGTTTCGTAAGTCCTCAAATTGTGTAAGTTTTCGATCTTTGGTGGAAGGAACTCAAACCTGCACACACACACACACACACACATATATGTGTGTGCAGTATTAGATATACAATTTATATAATTAGAATCGAACATTGAATTATTAGATGTAAAAAAGGGTTATTTAGCACTTAACACACTAGAGATTATCATCAATAATTAAGAAAGTCAAACTATGCCAATTAATCTATGTGATTGGAAAAGAAAAGAAAAAACCTATAATGCACTAGTGATACAGATGACGTATGGAGCTGATCAAGTGTTAACACATCAAAAGAACCACTAAAATATATGCATTTTTAATTATGTAACGAGATGAAATTTGCCGATGCATTAAAACCTATCTCATGTGACAGGGATGATTTTCGTGACTTTGCCGACGTCTGCTTTTGGAAATTTGGTGATCGTGTGAAGAATTGGATCACACTAAATGAGCCATGGAGTTTTAGCTCTACTGGGTATGGACATGGTACATACGCACCAGGTCGATGTTCTCCATGGCAAAATTGTACCAGATCGGGGGATTCAAGCACAGAACCATATTTGGTGTCACACCACCAACTTCTTGCTCATTTAGCTGCAGTAGAGTTATACAGGAAAAATTATCAGGTCTCACTCGGGCATCCTAGACTTTATTTATTTATCTTTTTTCGAAAGTTTAAGCAAACACACTTATTATATATTATTATGCCTCCATCAAGGCTCAAACATTTAACCTTCCTATTGATGGTGGAGAAATTATATCATCTGAACTAGTGTCTATTAGTAATGATCACCATACTTGATGTTGAGAATATATATGTATATATATAATTTTTGATATTTTCTTAATCTCTGCCAACAAATATAGAACAAATTAATAACAAAAATCGTTCTGAACTTGTACATATGAAACACAGGGAAAATTTAATTTGGATGTTGGTTTTTTTTTTTTTTGGTAAATGGTTGTGATTTAATCATGTTGATCGTGTGCAGGCATGTCAAGAGGGCATAATTGGAATTACGCTTCTGGGGATATGGTATGAACCTTTGAACGCGAGTTCAAGGCAGGACATTGATGCTCAAAAACGAGCCATCGATTTTGTGTATGGATGGTAAGTACAAATGAGAACCATGTTTTTTTTTTTTTTTTTTTTCTTTTTTTTTGAAAGGTAAGATTAAATGAGGACTATGTTCCTCATGGAGTAGTGCAATGGTTATTAATATACGTATTCTACTGATATTTTCTTTAATTGGATTTTTGATTTTGAATAATAAGAAAAAGTAAATTTTACTTACAGCTAAAAAAATATAATAATAATAAAAAAAATTAATATTAACAAGAACAATAAAAACTATATTTATTTATTATCATGATCACGTCCTAAAGATGTTATTTGGTTTTTCCTAATGGAGTAGTTCTTTAAGAGGTTGAACACCCCGATTATTGTCGAAAATAAGTTTAAAATTTAACTTTTGAGACATATCTGATGCTTTTGACACATCTTCCAATCTGAACACAAGATGATCGGATGTCAACTTGACTACATGGTGGAGATTTTTGTCACTTGTACCGCGCGCGCGCGCGTGTATATATATATATATATATATATATATATGTTATGATATAGATTTTTGCAAGTGCATTTCAGGTTTATGGACCCACTCACAAATGGTGACTATCCACGTAACATGCGTGATCTTGTTGGCAATAGGCTGCCGAATTTCACAACAGATGAATCGACAAGGCTAATCGGATCATTTGATTTTTTGGGGTTAAATTATTATACAGCCGGTTACGCAACTTATGATGATAATGATACCCGTCCTGATAGTTACGTTTATGATTCTAAAGTCATTACAACATGTAAGTAGGAACCAAAATATATATATACTATACTATTTTATTCTTTCAATTATGATCACCTGACTTAACTTGGTACTTATAAAATGTGCATCTCATTTTGATTTTATAGATGTGCGTGATGGGATCCCCATTGGTGAAAATGTAAGACTTTTAAATTTAGTATTGCATTTGAGAACACCACACCTCGAATTGAAATAAAAGAAAATTTCGTTCAAGAAGTGAAGAAGTTGATTGGGTGCTTCTAAACATAAACTTCAATTCATTTTGTATTTAAATGATTATATTTGTAATTCTGACAAGAATTTCTATTTATTGCGTTAAAAATATGTTACAGGCTTCGAGTTGGCTATATATTTATCCGCTAGGGTTTCGGAATCTTTTGAACTACACGAAAATGACATACAACATTTCGCTTATATACATAACTGAGAATGGTAATTATGATCTTTTCATACCGAACTGAGCTCAATTTTATTAATTGAGTTCACAAACGTATAACATTTATTGTTTCCTAGGGGTTAATGATGATGAAAATGCTGATAGTCCGCAAATTATCAACGATACTCGCAGAGTAAAGTACTTGAAAGACCATCTTTGTTGCCTTCAAAAATCCATATTTGAGTAAGTATTTAGTGTTGCATGTTTCAATCAATTCATTTTTTTTCACATTTGTGAGCACATTGATGTATAAAATAGTTGAAATAAATTAACAATTTGAATTTTATGATGTACAAGTTTGACTTAATATATATATATATTTGAAATGTAACGTTTTTTTCTTTTTTTTTCGTAGGGATGATGTCAATGTAAAGGGATATTTCGTATGGTCGATGATGGACAATTTTGAATGGGTTGATGGTTACACTACTCGATTTGGCATCAACTATGTTGATTATGACAATAATTTGACTCGAACCCCAAAGAGTTCAGCGATATGGCTACAAGGGTTTCTCAATGGATCTACACAAAGCTCCACCAGCCTAAAATTAATTGCTGATCAATAAATAAGAGGAAGATATATATATAATTCTTCTCTATATTTTCTAAATAAAATCTGTGTCGTTTATCTTTGAACACAGAATTGGAGTGTGTGAACTAGTGAACCAGCATTACCTTCGGAAAGTTTGCTAAATAATCCATTTGTCTTTTTGTCTCTTTTTTAAGGTGTTACTTTTGTATCTCTAGTTGCAGGAGGTTAGGCACTATGTCCCCCTCCCTGTAAGACTTATAAGTTTATGTAATAAACTGGTAGGGGTCTATGCCAAACCCTCCACCTCTTAAGGTGGTTTACTTTCAAAAAGGGAAAAAAGAAAAAGGATAATGCTTTTTTTGTTACGGTGGCAAGAAAGTCACACAACCAAATTCACACTCACTCTGTTTGTAGGAGGACTTGAACCATCAACTTTCTACTTTAAAAGGTGAAAAAATACCACTAACAATTAACTTTTGAGCGATCTCTAGAATAATTAGTTCCATAAGAGCTTCATGATTCATCAACCACATGTTTGCTAACTATTCAATAATACAAACTTCAATACAACTATAACATAATTACCAAAAAAAATAAACTACGGTATAACTGTAACGTAATTATCGAAAAAATATAACTATAACATATTAGTAAAACTATGAGATATATATTTTGTAATTGGCTAATTTTTGTGTCTAAATAAGTCTGATCGAGTTGCATTTCTAAGTTTAAAATTCAAGTTCGAGATTGGTTGCGGAATTGAAGAGTTGTTTGTATTTGATAGCTTGAAGTTTACGAAAAGGTAAGAACAATACCTTAGGAAGATGAGTTAGAAGGTTGGGACACTTGCATACTTCGCATGTCTTTAAAAAATGCACATTGCCGAAATTTTTCTAAGTGTTTAAAACCTTCAGTTCAGGTTTGATTAACTTGAACTAGTTCAAGGCAGTTGAACCGGTTCAAGATGAAAAGATTCATTTTGTTTAAAACATACATAACATACTCGTCAACTTGAACCGATTCAAGGTCCTTGAACCGGTTCAAGTGTTTCTTCAGATTTAGGTAACTTGTTTGCTACTCTGTTTTAACTTCCTATTTTTTATAGACTTATTTCCATAAACTTGTGCATGAATTTAACTTATTTTCCAAGTATAACTAGGGTTTTGAAAGTCTATATAAACATATTTTCTCATTTAGGTTTGTGTAGATTTTTGCATTAAAATTCTTATTTCCATTAAAAGTCTTTTTGTGAGATTTTCTTTAAGAGCATACACACTATATACACACGAGTGAATTTAGGGTGATGTTTAAATCCTGATCGTGTTCGAGTCTACTGAAGATTGCATCTACAACGATTAGAGAAAGTAAATCTATTTCTTCTACATCACATTCAAATTCAAATAAGAAGAATTTTCAGATCACACTTTGAAGGGATCAAGGCACTTGCTTAGTGTTGTTAATCTACCAATTATATTTCTACAAGATTCGAGGCATAAGTCTGAAATCAAGAGCTGTTGGGTAAGAAGTCGCAAAGTCAGAGACGTTCAAGAGATTGAGTCTTAGTAGAGCGAAGTGGTTTGAGTCTAAGTCAAAGTTTGGTGTACTTTACTTCATACATAATGGATCTTTTTATGCTTGGGATGGTGCACAAAACCTCGAGATTTTTCAATTGGTTTCCTCACTAAAATCCGATGTCACTCTAAACTTTACTTGCTTTGATTTTTCCTATGATTGTTTAATTAATTGGCAATTTTGTAGAGTTAATTAAACAGAGAAACACGTGATTAAATTCGCTCTCAATAGAAACTCAAACTTTCAGCAATCCATTACGCTGCACAATTCATAATTAGTATTAGAGCCAATCTCCACACATTGAGTTGATCCTAAAGACAACGTGTGCGTAAAGCAACAAAGAGAGTGAAATAAGGTGGTTCTAAAGATGAATCAAATCTAAGTGAGTGAATAAAGCAATCCTAAAGGTACCATATGATAAAAGGAACGTGGAGAGCGATCGGTCGTCAATTATACATCAACCTTTGCAATAACATAAATCATTGTAAAATAGGGCTATTGGTCGGGTAAGTCGAACCACTGGGACTGCTAGGTTATGGCAACTAAGATACATAGAACCACTTTTAGAATGATGAAAGGGGTGTAAAGAGGTTTGTTGGTTTGTCACGAAAATTACGAATTGAACAATGCATAAAACAATATGGTGCTAGGAATTAAAGAGATAGAAAAATAAATAGAGAGGACTAGGGAGATGAATCCACTTCCAACCCTGTCTTATACCAATATTTTCCGGATCAAATTATGAGAAGATGCATTCCAGAGAGTGAGATTCCAAGTGTCCTAGTGTTTTGTCACACTCTTGCATGTGGTGGGCATTTTAGTGCAAAGAAGACTGCCTTAAAGGTTCTTCAAAGTGGGCTCTTTTGGCCCACTATTCATAGAGATGCCTACAATTTTTGCAAATCATGTGAGAGATGTCAAAAGATGGGAACAATGTCTAAAAGGGATATGATGCCCTTGACTAATATACTTGTTGTTGAGATCTTTGATATATGGGGCATTGATTTTATGGGTTCATTTCCTATTTCCTATGGTTTTCAATACATTCTTCTTGCCGTTGATTATGTTTTCAAGTGGGTGAAAGCATGTGCTACTAAAACGAATGACCACTCTATGGTCATTTAATTCATCAAATCCAATATCTTTGCTCGTTTTAGTATGCCAAGGGCTATAATAAGTGATGGAGGAAAATATTTTTGCAATCAATTCTTGAGGCACTTATTTCTTAAGTACTCCGTCACTCATAAGGTAGCCACTCCCTACCATCCTCAAACAAGCGGGCAAGTTGAAGTGTCTAACTGGGAAATTAAGCATATTCTTGAGAAAACGGTTAACACCAACCGAAAGGATTGGTCAAGAAAGCTAAATGATGCTTTGTGGGCTTATCGAACGACATACAAGACTCCCATTGGCATGTCTCCTTATAGACTTGTATATGAAAAGCCTTGCCATCTTCCGGTTGAGTTAGAGCATAAAGCCTTATGGGTAGTTAAAAAGCTCAATTTTGACCTTGACAAATCCGGAGAGAATAGTTTACTCCAATTAACTGAGTTAGAAGAGTTGAGACAGAATCCTTATGATAATGCCAAAGCTACAAAGAACGAACCAAAGCCTTTCATGATAACATATTGTGAAAAACTCTTTGGAACCCGGTCAAAAAGCTTGGCTTTTCAACTCTAGACTGAAACTCTTTCCTGGGAAATTGAGAACCAAATGGGAAGGCCCTTATGAAAACATCTCCGTTGCACCTCATGGGGCGGTTGAAATCAAAAACTTAAAGAAGGGCAACATTTTCAAAGTTAATGGTCAAAGATTGAAACCTTACATAGAGGGTCAAGTCTTTCAAAGACATTTTGAAGCTGCACATCTAATTAACCAGGTGTATGAGCACATAGAAGATTGCATTGACAAGGAACCAAGAGTCCCTTTTGAGCTTAAACCAACAAGTTCTTCAAAGAACCATTTGTTGGGAAAAGTTCAAAGAACCATTCATCACCCCAATAAGGAGGGGATGCATAATAAGATCTTTGATCCAGGCTAAAAGAGTCCAACGTCTTGCTAGAGACGTTAAAGACTAGCAAGGGCATTCGTAGGGGTGTCAAAACCCTATTCCTCCCTTATTTCTATCTTTTATTTCATTTCATGCAAAGTCTAGATACTTGTTTTTGGTTTTCATATTCATTTCAAGGAACTTTGGTGAGGATTGCTTAAGCTTTCATGTCATTATTGAGCACTCTGCAAAGTTCGATCGATCTCAAGCTTGAGTTCGATCGATCGAACTCTTCTCAACATCCAACACTTAGAAAATTTTTTGACCTGTAGAAACCTGCATCCAAATCACTTCTCTGTCCCATCATTCGAACGAACTCCAAGATCGATTAAGAGACCTTTGATTGATCTAACTTCCAAGTTCGATCGATCTCATGACTCAACACTTAGAAAAATTTTGAGCCTACATCAACCTGCATATTTCAGCTCTCTGTCTGATCGTTCGAAACATTCCAAGATCGATCTGAAAGTTCTTCAATCGATCCAACTTCCAATTTTGATCGATCTCATGTTCCAACACTTAGCCAAAATTTTAAACCAAAAACCTGCATATTTTTGCTCTCAGTCTGATCGATCGAACTCTTGTTCTGATCGATCTCAATTCTCCATTTCATTGTTTGATTTTGTTTTGACTTTTCAATTTTCAAAAATCCAAAAATATTTTCATTTTTATTTGTATTTTATTTTCTTGTTTATTATAAAAAGAAAAAAAAAAGAAAAAAAAAAAGAAAGCAGTTTCTATCGATCTGAAATTCTAGTTCAATCGATTGAACTCTCGTGCGACAGTTTTAAATAGAGGATAAGATCCCATTCTCCCCCATTTCCAAACCCTAGTTCCTATGTCACCGTATCCTCGCCCATCTCCTCCATCTCCGGTGAGATCTCCGCAGTGAGCCAAGTGTCGATCTCTCCCTCTTCTCGGATCTTCTTACTCTTCACATTTCATTTTATCTCTCTTTTCTTTGCTTCAAGGTAAGATTCGAGACCTCATTATTGATTTCACACCATGATTTCTAACAATATGCTTTAAATGTTTGATCCACTCCCATATTCATGATGATTGTTGGCCATGGATGAAATTTTAAGCTTTTCATGTTTATATGTCTATTTTCGTCTTTATGCCATAACCATTGTAATGAGTCGCTTTGATTTTTGGGAGTGTGAGCCATTTTAGGTAATTGTGATTGATGATTATTGTGTTGATGGACCCACGAACATGTTTGTGTGGATCCCGCGCTCCTACAGTCACAGATTTGTGACTTCTCATTTTTCACATAACACAGTTCGATCGATCGAACTTGTGCCCTAGATCGATCGAAGTTATTAGATCAATCTCACTTATTTTCGATCGATCCAACTTTTGTGATCGATCTCACTCTTTTTTTTTATGATCGATCGAATTTCACAGATCTCATACACACGCTTCATTTATCTTCACTTCATGCTATCCTATCTATGCCCAATACCTGTGATATTCCACATTGGATGCGGTTCATTCTTATATTGCTTGGCATACTTCACATCCTATCACTTGCATGGATTTATATCATATAT